AGTAAAACTTTTTAAGTTATTTTTAATTTTTTTTTTTTTTTTTTATAAATTCTTTTTAGTAATTATTTTATGCTTTTTTGTTCAGCTCACACATGCGGTATCAGTTGGTTATGCTAGGCATCTTGTAGGCTGGTTATTTGCTGTCTGGCCTAAATCCATTGATATATACCCAATGCTAGGTGATATTGATCCTCATCAAATTGTTGGCCTGTTGGATCTTATACAGAGCAATGAAAGTAAAGAACATTTTCAAAAGGTATGAACTCAAGTATCTCTTACATTTAAATAGTTTTTATTTGCCAATGTTTCTTACATAAGTATAAAATCCAAAATAAGTTTTTGCATATCTAATTTTTTATATCTAATTTGCATATCTCTTTGATTTGAGACTTATGATTAGACATCAAAATATTTAAAAAGGGTTTAAGATCAAAATACTATGTGTAACTATTCACTTTGATGACTTGTTATGGTGTTTTTAGGGTGAATAATTTAAAGTATAGAAAAAATATTATCTAATTAGTGTAAGATTTCATGTTTAGTGTTTGATTTTAAATTTGCTTATCATTTTTTAGTTAATTAAAGGTTCAAAAATGTAAAAGAAATTAGAATTATTCTGTTTCAAGCTTTCTAAAAGTTGTAGAAATTTCATAAAACAATTGCACAACAACTATGTTTTATAATGGAAATTAAAGAAAAATTTTCATAAGTTACAAAACTTAACAAAATTATTTATGTTGTAAAACAAAGATTGCAGATGATTTTTAAATTCAGACATTTATAATTTAAATTCAGAATAGAGATATAATTTTATAGAATATAGTTTAATTATATTATATTCTTATAATGTAACTTATACTATCTTATATAATTATAAGAAATATAATAGTTTTATGATATATAATATAATTTTAAAATATCAATTTATAATTTTAGGTTGTATTCAATTTCATTCAATGTTGCAGCAAGCCTCTTGCCTTACCAGCTGTTCAGTGTATGGGAGAAGTTCAATTACCAAGTATCACAGTGGAATCAGAACATAAATATAAAAATAATGCAAAAATAGAGGTTGACCAATTAATCATACCTTGTATAGCACCTTATACTAGAGAACTTTATAGTCTTTGCATAAAATACATACTTATAATTCTTTAAAACAAATAAAAATTTGACGATAATAATAAAAAGTTGGAACATATATTTTTTGTCATGAGTTAACTTCTATTAAGCTAACTTCAATTGAAATGGCATAAAAAGTTAAAAATGGTAGAAAAGGTTAAAAGTGGTGGAAGCAAAAGTAAATCAGAATTAATTTTTGGTAAATTGTGTTCAAACTTGTTTCTAATATAAATTCAATTTTATTGACATTAAAAAAATTTTTATTTCCATAATATTAAAAAATTTAAAAAAAACAAACATGTTTATAAATAAAATTCCAAAAAAAAAAGGAAATGAAAAAAGGAGGGGGAAAAAAAAGAATTAAGATTTGCAACGCACTTAAGGAGGGAAAAAAAAGTTTGAAAAAAATCCTTATAATCATGTTTTTGTAAAAAAAACAAACTGTGAGAACTTTAACATAAAAGTATAATCGATTTGGAAATTTTGTTTTTATTTTTGATTTTCTGCCTAAAAAATAAAGTTATGGCTCTGCTTACAAATTTAAGGGTACCTAAAAAAATGTACCTAAAAAAAAGGTACATCTAAACATAAAAGGATAACTTTTGCTTAACTAGTAATCTTTGAAATACACATTTAATTAAAATACCAATGAAATATGTATTTACTTCTAATACCCAATATACTACTTTCAATTATTTATTAATTATTGCTTTCCTTTATCTGTAAATTTTTATTTCATTTGAAAAAAAAAATATTTTTTTAAGGACAAAGTTTGTATTCCTGGAGCATCAAGTCTTTTTGTGCGGTTTGATGAGAGGTTTTTATTTTATTTAAAGCTTTCTTGTTTTGATTTGCGAAAAAAAAAAATTTATAAAATTTTTTTTTTATTATTAAACATATTTTTGTTTTTTTATGTAATTGTTGCCATTAACGAGATTGTCACAATTTTTTTTTTTAATATATCTTTTTTTTTTTTTTATGTTTTTTCATTTCTCCAATAAACTGTGCATTATCTAACATTGCTGCATAATTATTATTTAATTTTTTCATAGATGCTCTACAGAATACAATTGTGATGAACTAATTTTATCTACATCACCAAATTTACAGCAGAACAGAAGAGTTTTTAGTGGCTCTGGCGATTGGCAGGATTTTGAAATGCCAGGTTGATTTTTTTATGCTTTGTAACAATCAACTCTTTGACAGAAATAAGAAAAAAATTATTTACAGAGTTAGAATTGGAATTTTATTACAGCACTTGACAAAAACAGGTTCAAAATGGAATTATATGCACCCTTTACTCACCCTGAAAGAATTTACAGACTTTTTAACAAAAGCAATAAAGACTTCAACAGTTCTAATTTTTAATTAAAAAATATAAATTTTAATACTTTTTTTATTAGGCTCATAAATTTGAGTTATTTTTTTTATTAATTATTATAATATTTTATTATGTATATGAATCCAAGAGTATGTATTTTAGGAGATACAATATATTACCAATTCACTTCTGATTCAAGTAATAATGACTGGGGATGGAAATTTGTGGTTACAGGAGGACAATTAGGAAGGCAATTATATATAAATTTTTTTTTAATTGGTTAATTGGGTTTTTTTTTTTAAAGTATGCTTCTTTTGCTTCTTTTTTTTTTTTTAATTTTTCATACTAAAAAAAATTAATGCATGGTTTGTTTTCTTAAATATTCTTTCTTTTTAGATTTGAGACTGGTTGTACAATTCTAAGTGCACTTCTCTCTCAAGACCATCATGTAGCAAGGTAAAGTAATATTGCGATATTTATAAAATAATGTTGTTAAGTAAGTTTTTGAGTTTACAATTGTATTGAATATAATTCTATTATATAACAAAAATGGTTGAATTTTTCTTGAGGTTAAAAATTTATATATGCACTGTTGGTAATAAACCTTAAATGATAAATAATATCAGACTGTAGGTTTAGGTAAAATGTAGATACTAGTATTAGACTTAACAACCAGTATAAGACTTGACATAGAACCTTGGTACCTCAGAGATTACTATAAATGAACCACATTTTAGTTTGTGATGTCAAAAGCAATGTCCTTTGAATTCTTGTTACCATCCAAGATAAAATCTCTCACTTGTTACTGTTAACAAATCGTTAGTTTAATTAGAACTTTCAATATTAGGATCAACTGAGAGTTTAAAGTTTGAAGATGATTCAAATAATTATTTAACTTATTTTTGTTGAAATACACCCAAATATTTTTTTTTTTTTTTTTAAAAAAAGTATTGAATTGATATACAAATATATAATAGAAATAATAGACTGACTGTTGCTTGATAACTAATAATAGTAGAAATAATAACTATAAATGTTGTGATTACTCAGATGATATCCTGTTACATAATAATTAGCAATAAAATGGTTACAGAAATGATAACCTGTTGCATGATAGCAACAATGTTGTGATTGCAGAAACAATAACTTGTTGATTGACAACTAGCAATAATAAGATAACATAATTGATAATCTGTTGCACGATAGCTAACAATATTGATTATAGAAATATTAACCTGCTGCATGATAAGTTTATTATTATTATGTTCTCTTGTGTGTAAATGTAAACAACATAATAAACACTTACAAACTATAAACACATAACATAACACATCACAAACATAGAAACATTTCATATATAAAAGATATATTTACACACAAAATATAAATTACAAACCGCTTTAGTTTCAAATTTTACATGAACTTATTTTTGTATAAAAGAAATTTTTTGAAGTTCTCTTTTTTCACTTCTTCACAGAAAGCTGCCATTAAAACATTTATGGACATGGCTAATTGTTGTGGCTTGCAATCAGGTTGGTCAACAAAGACTAATGGCAACTGGACTTTTATTGCGAATACTACAAATTTGCGCTGGGTAATCACGATTATGTTTTTCTTTAAGTATTGTTTTTTTAACTTTTTTTATCCACATGTTAGTCATTTTTTAGTTAATTTTAAAGAAAAAAACAATTTGTCAATAAAAAAAAATTTATGTTAGGGATGAGTATTTGTTTGGTCCTGATATTGAACCCACTTTACCGAAAAATAGACCTGATTTATCTTTGCTTCGACCTCTTTGGACCTTGTATACTAATTCAATTGAAGGGGACTCGGGTAAGGAAGTTAAGAAATAATTTATTTTAATTGTTTTTATAGTAAAATACTTTCACTAATCTTACTTTGTTTACTTCCTTTCACTAATCTTACTTTGTTTGTTTTTTGTTTTTTTCAACTTATTGCTGTGGTTTCTTTTCAGGCACTAGTTTAACTTTAATATCTCCTGTTATACGTGGTTTATCTGAACTTTTTCTAGTGGTAGAAAATGTTGCCCAGGTAACAGACTTTTTTTTTTCTAGCGGTAGAAAATGTTGCCCAGATAACAGACTTTTTTTTTCCAGATTTAAATTAGTTGAAGGGCTTTTAGCCAGGAGTTATCTTTTTCCGGATATTTCCGGAATTCCGGATATTTTTTAAACTTTTTATATTTTCCGGATAATTAAATAGTTTCCGAAAATACAATTTATAAAATTTTTTCTGTTTTTTACTGTCATTAAATGAAACAGTAACAAGTATATATAAACAGTAAACTTGTTGTCCATAAATTACCAAACGTTATATTCAGTTAAAAAACAAAGCCAAAAAGATTAAAAGATTTCCCTCGCAGAGTAAACCAAAAATTAATAAGAATTTTAATTAAAGTTTAATAAAAATCCCAGCGCAAAAGAGCGAATGATCTCCTTTTTTTTAAAATAAAGTTAGCGATGCGTGTCAAACTCTTCTCTTTTAAAAAAAAATTGTAAATTTACGTTTTTTAAATAGCTCTTTTAGCTATTAGCAAAGAGATTTCTTTTTTTATTGTTTTAAAACTTTTTTTAAGCAAACCACTTCGCTTATGAACTGAAACTTCACTCAGTTTGTTTGTCGGTGGTTCAAAATTTACTACATCATTATTTCGTTTTCTGTCCAGTCGTACCATTGCAAGTCTCTATTCGTACACACTTCTTGAAAATATCATTTTTTCGCATAATTTCTTATTAATTGGAGACAAAGTTTTGATGATTGTATTTAAAAAGTTATGACGATGGTAGCAAGGCCGGCGCGATAGGGATGTGTGGGGGTGTTACACCCCCTCCCCCCCACACACACACACCTATCTCTCTTAATTACAGAAAAAGCTCTTTCGCCTGAGCAGTTTGAAACTGCTGTACTAAGGTACATACGCATAACTATTTCTAAATTTGGAAACATACACTCTAATTCTTTGGTCTTGATGTACTTATACATAGCAAGGGTTGAATTAACGCATCGCGATTTGCGATATATGTTAAATTATCTGGTCTTCAAAGTTTCAGTTTATGGAAAACCACGAAATTTACGGAATAGGCAAATAAAATTTAATTTGTTAGTGAAAATGTTATGAAAAACAAAACAATAAGTTTATTACTACAAAAGTAATAACACTACAGTGTTGTTACTTTTATAACACTCTTTTAAGTTACATTTATAGTTTATTGTTTGATCAAACAACACATAATCAAGATATTATAAATAAAAATGATTTAGTTAAGTAATTCCAAACTTTAATTAAAGTAGTAATCCATCTAAAAAAAATACAATGGATATTTAAACAATGTTAAAAACCTCAGCAATTTTTACGTATACATATTTTTATCACTGATCTCTATAATAACTGGATAGCGCATCTCCTAATAAAATTTCGAAATTTTTGAAGCCAAAAGACGCCATATTGGAAAGCCCCAGAATTTATAAATCCGTAGTTGCGTTAAACTTATATGTGCTTAAAACTTAGATTTCGCTTGATAAATAAAAAATGCAAAAACCTTATAAATGCATTGATTATTAAAAACCGAGTAAATCTGATGATATATGTTCAGATTATTTCATGGAGAGTGGCATAAATATATATATATATATCTATATATATCTATATATATATATATATATATATATATATATATATATATATATATATATATATATATATATATATATATATATATATATATATATATATATATAGATATATATATATATATATATATAATATATATATATATATATATATATATATATATATATATATATATATATATATATATATATATATATATATAAATTATGTATACAGGGTGGCCAGCCACTTTCAAGAATTAAATTCCCTGACTTTTTATATTTTCCCTTGACTCAGTTATATTTTGAAGTGTGAATTTTGAAGTTTTGTTGTTTGGGAGTAAGTAAAAAAAAACCTTAAAAAAATTAAATTTTCAAAAAAGACATTTTCCCCTGATTTTCCTGACTAGAAAAGAATTCCTTGACTTTTCCATGATTTCCAGTTAGCTGGCCACCCTGGTATAATATTATTATAATAGCATGCAAGTGTATATTAGTATACACCTTTTGATTCTTAATTGCCCTCTGCAAAATGCCTGAGGCTTGTAACATATTTGCAAGGTAGCAGCTTACAAGTTTGCTGTATGAATCATTAGTCAGGCAATGTGATTGTAACACAACCTAAAGGTTCCTTAGGCAACATATAGCAAATCTTTATATTTACCTTTAATAATTTTGTTCTTGCGTGTGTATATATATATATATATATATATATATATATATATAAATATATATATATATATATATATATATATATATATATATATATATATATATATATATATATATATATATATATATATAAATTAACTTAACGCTTAACTGTCGAAAAATACTTTCAAGACATTTTTGTAAATGCCATTAGACATTTTCACAACACTAGAACATTTGTATAAGATATTGCAATTACAAAAGAATATGTTAAAGTAAAAAAATATAAATAAAATAATAGTTAGCTCTATCATCTTGAACAAAATAATCATTGAATAACTTGTATAAGCATTGAATAACAAAATAAACATTGAATAAAAAGGTATTATGTGGTAGGGAAAAGTAAAAAAGTATGTACACTTAAAAAAAAAATTGTTCACCTTTCATTTTGGTCTTTTATGTTGCTTATTTGTTTTCACAAGAGATATTTTAAATATTTATTAATTATGCAACTAATATTTATCAGTATAAAACTGATAGATGTTAGCTGAATCATTATTATTTTACTTTAGAGTCAATAGTTGTAAAGAAACTTGAAAGAAACTATGTCTGTTTTCATTTATACCATATTTACATATAAACAATCAACATGTATGTGATGCTGTTATTTAGTCTAAAACACTATATACTTTAATGTAAATCTGCAAATAACTAGTTATCACCAAATATCCAGTGTTTTTTAAAGTTAGAGATGGTTTTTTCAAACCTTCACAAAGTGTAATTAAAGTTAGCAAAGCAACAGAACAAAGCATTGTTATTAAGTGATATCAATTTTAATAAAGTATTGCATAGTTGATGATATTTCAGTTGTGGAACAATATAAACATGCCCTCAGAGTTTCAAAAATTAGAAAACCATTTACAAAAATGTTTGATACTTGTAATACTTGTAAATGTTTTATACTTGTAATGTTACTTTCCAGCTACTATTGCTAAGTAAGGTCGCATCAAGTTGTTAAAATAAACACCCAAAAGTAACCAGATCAAATATCAATTTGTCTTTTAGAAAAGTTTTATTTAGAATATCATGAATTCAATAAATTTAACAAGTTCATAGAAAGCAATACAAATTTTATTATTTCTTTATAGCGATATTTCTCTTCGTCGTTAATGTTTTGCGTGTTTTTGATTCCCTTTTATAATTTTTACACCTTTAAACATTTTAAATATAATAATATCATTGAAATATGTGACTTGGTCGAGTAGATATAAACGAAGTAAAAAGGTACATCTTCAAGCGCAATCACTGTATTTTCGGTATTCTGGGGCTTTCCAACATGGCGGCCGTACAAAATATTGGATATTAGAGATGCGCTATCCAGTTATTATAGAGATCAGTGATTTTTATAAACAGTTTAGCATTTTTAAACATCTTACTAACGGTCCGGAAAAAACGCGCGTTTTCTTTAAAATCAACCAATAAAAACACTGGTAATTTACTTCTTAGGAGAAATCTATATTAAAAGGGGAGGGGGGAGGCTAAAAACTTAAATTTTGTTTTATTATTTAATCAATTAAATCATAATAAAAGTAAAGACAAAAAAATATATTTCGAAATATACTTCTTTATAACTAAAATTTATTAAATTGAACACCTCTGTTTTTAGTTTTATGTATATGTGAGTACTACTCTGAGTGGCGAAACTGCGGGGGGGGGGGGGGGCTTTGCATAACAGACAAAAAGTGTCCTGATTTTAAACTAATTTTAGATTGCATGGGCGATATGGGGCTGATTTTGAAAATCGTGTTATTTGTTTATAACAAGTCACTTGTTATAAACAAAAAACTATATCTCAAAACAAAAATTCAGTGAAAATTGGCCTTAAAATTAAAAAATATATATATTGGTAACCAATAAATAATAAAACTTTCATTGTAAATCCTCCCGCTTTTTTTTATTATTTCCTCCTCCCATTTTATACATCCTGACTAAAATTCCCACCCCCACCTACTTTTGTATTAAGCACATTAGAGTAGTCAGTAACAACCCCCCCCCCTCCGCAAGATTTTTAAAATGAGCCCCATATCTCCCATGCAACCTAAAATTAGTTTAAAAATAGGACACTTTTTGTCTGCTAACCCCCCCCCCCCCCCTTCCCGCAGTTTCGCTACTGAGAATAGTACTGACATTTACTTAAAACTAAAAACAGAGGTGTTCAATTTAATAAATTTTAGTTATAAAGAAGTATATTTCGAAATATATTTTTTTGTCTTTACTTTTATTATGATTTAATTGATTAAATAATAAAACAAAATTTAAGTTTTTAGCCCCTCCCCTCCCCTTTTAATATAGATTTCTCCTTAGAAGTAAATTACCAGTGTTTTCATTGGTTGATTTTAAAGTAAACGCGCGTTTTTTCCGGACCGTTTGTAAGATGTTTAGAAATGCTAAACTGTTTATAAAAATATGTATTCGTAAAAGTTGCTGAGGTTTTTAACATTGTTTAAATATCCATTGTATTTTTTCTAGATGCATTACTACTTTAATTAAAGTTTAGAATTACTTAACTAAATCATTTTTATTTATGTTTATTCGCCTATTCCGTAAATTTCGTGGTTTTCCATAAACTGAAACTTTGAAGACCAGGTAATTTAACAGATATCGCAAATCACGATGCGTTAATTCAACCCTTGCATAGAGAGAACAGATTTTACATTTTTATCCGTAGAAATTAATTTTGAAAAAAGAATACACTCATCTATAAGTAAGCTTGAGTTTTAAACATCATCAATAAAATATTTTGCCTAAGTTTCACATGTGTTTCTTACAACAATAGAACTCGGTATTTTATACAATGTGGGCATACACCCATAAATATCTGATATTTTTTCATAAGCTTGTCTTCTCGAACTAAGTTGACATTTAAAAGTATCAATGATCACATAATATACATTTCTAATAAAATCTATTTTCCCTGTGATTTCTGTGATAGGTTGAGATCTTGATTCATTAGCCATAGCCTAAAAAAAAAAATAACGTACCTTTCTCTTTTTTTTTCTTATGGAGTCTTTGGCATAGTCTGAACAACCCGTAATTTCTACAGCCTTATTTTCAAAAACATCAAAATCATCTCTGATCTGTACCAAGTAATTTTCAAGGCCATTATATTGGTCTAATACTGTATAAAGATCAATGTCAGTTGATTGTAATTTTTTATTTGTAGCATTAAAACTAAAATCATATTAAACTTTATATTAATTTATCTATTAAGCTGACGTTCCGACCAAGTTAAGAGAATGTGCAGAACATGGTACATACTCTGCAAATGAATTAAAACTTTTAATTCTTGATTGCAACCCAGAATACTGACCTGACATTCTCGCATTGTCGACAATGCGAGGAATATGTCAATTTTAATTACTTTGTTAATTAAAATTGACATATATATACCACGACAATTTTTAATTGGTATACTGTGAATTAAGAAAATCCGTTACAACATTGCTCATTTCTTCAGATTTATGACCACTGTTTGGAATGAATATTAAAAATATAAAAGATGGAGGAGAGCACACTCCCTCACTCTTTGTTAACATCTCTTTGTAAATTCCGGATTTTTTCCGGATATTACAAAAAAATTTCCCGGATATTTGAGGAAAAAAAGTTTCCGGATTTTTAAAATATGGCTAGGATAATCTATGCTTTTAGCTTAAATTTAATTTTTTTAAACTTGAAATTTTTTTATAAAACAAGTCATATTATTTTATTTTAAACAGGATTGGGGAGAAGCAGATTGTCTGGTGGCTGGATTAGCTTCCGACGAGAAGCTTACAAAATGCTTTTCGAAGGTATAAAATAATTTTCAAACAATGAAATTAAGTTTTTGAAAACTATTTAAAAAAAAAAATTTTTAATGCTGCCATTGCTTTTAATTATCTATTTATACTATAAATTGTGTCATTTTATGAAGTTGTATGTCATTTAGGCAGTCCGAGTTATTGCAGCAATTGGATTGGCTATTGATCTACCGAACAAAGCATTTGATATGATACAAAATGCTCGTAATGTTCCGCCTCCATCTACGACGGGACTAATAAATGTATGCATGTTCTAATTACTTTGCAAAGTTATGCATGTTTTAATTATGCAAATTTATGCATGATTTAATAACTATGCAAATTTATGCATGATTTAATAATTATGCAAGTCATATTAAACTCTGTGTTGCTTTTACAATATTTCTATGGGATGAACAGTTAATATTTAATTATAAATTTTTAATATTTTACCGGTTATAATTTTAGTAGAAGTAATAACGGTTTAAAAATACATCAGTTTCTTTATGCAAGTTTAATAAGAAAGAAATAAAAACAATGCATTATAAAGAAATTGAAACTAATGAAGTTAAACTCCGTTTTTCTACTAGACTCAATTACTTCCACAGGACAGACACAAAATTTAAAAAAAGTAATCTCTTTTGAGAAAATTTATAAAACAAGAAAAAAGTTTCTCACTTTAGTTTTACACATAAATATTTTTTTTATTCGAAATTAGCTTATATGCAAATTTGTATTGTTTGAATTTGGTTTAAAATTTAAATTTGTTTCGTTCGAAACTAGTTTGTTCTTGAGTTTTTCTCGAACATCAGTTCTTTGGAATTCGCTTCCTTCATCTTGTTTTCCTAATTCATATAATTTGCAATCTTTTAAGTCGTCTTTCAATCGTTATTATGCTCTATAAACTTTATCTTTTCTTCCAGTAACTTCCGACTCTAATAGTGGTTGCTTGCAGCCATGTTGGAAGTGATGTCAAAAAAAAAATAAGTTAAAAATATTAGATAGATATTTGAACATTTTCAAAATATTTAAAAAAATTTCAAATATTGTAAATATAAAAACCACCTAAAAATAAAAATTTGTTTTTTTGAGAAACACTCAGGTTGAAGAAATATATTTATGATCATATTTTTGAAATGAATTTTGGAATAATTAATTTTTATGTAAGATAATATCTTAGTATCTGCATATTCAAATTTTCAAATTTTGAATTATTATTCAAATTTTCAAATTGAGTTTCATAAAAACCTTTATTTATAATAACCCTTATTTATATTTTTCTTTATTTATCAACAATTTATTTTTTTGCGTTTTTATTAAATTGATTTATCTTATTTTTAGGACCACCAAGAAATTTCTTTTAACAAGAGGTAATCGCAAAAATCAAATTTTATTCTCCACAATAAATTTTACATTCTCTTTAAGATTTTTTTAAGTATGTAATATATGATTTATGCAGATCTACAATTTCATTGCGAATCACTGGTAGTGATGCGTCGAGCGATCCAGAAGATTGCTTGTTAACCGATTATTCAGATGAAGGAGACGTTGTTGATAATGATGACAACGATGATGATGAAGATAGTGATGACGGTGATGACATGAGTTCAGATTTATCGGAACCAGAGCCTCCACCCTTGTAACATATTTTACATTTGGTTTTAATCTTTTGCTTTGTTCCTCTGCCCTAAAATTTCTGCTAAAATAAAACTGCAGTTATATATTTTTATAATATTATTTAATTTTTTCGTTATATAATTTTTGTATAGATATTTTATACAGTTCTCTGGTCCTTTAATATCACTGTTTGAACATTTACAAATAAAGATTTGTTGTTTTACATATTTATAACTTGATTCACTATCTTAGATATGTTTCTTGTTTTAACGAAAACTATGTAAATTATTCCTTTGAACGATAGATTTTACAGAGTTTTTTGTTTATTTAGCAGATTTTTTATATATATATTTACCAGATATCGTATTAAATAGTTGTTTCATACGAGTGCAAAAAAAAAAATAGAGTGTAATGTAAAAAAAAGATAAAAATATATCCCGCGAAAAAAATAAAATTCGTTAATTACATGGTTTGACGATTTTTAAATATTTTTAAAATTTATATTTCTTAAAGTTCATTTTCAAATATTTTAGAATAAAACGTTATCAATAAAATTATTTTAAATTCAATAAAAACTTTCAAAAATTATTGAATTACCAAATAAGTTTTGAAAATTTAAATTGGTTTTCGAAAAGTTAAATTAATTTTAAAAAAAAAGTTCCCTTTTTAATGTTCTTAATAATTTCGATATTTATTTCACTACTACTGCACTCCTACTGGACTTCATATACAAAAGAGTATTTTATTGTATTGTTTAGTTGAGATCCAATAATATTATACGTTAATTTGTTGTCCAAAATTCTGTCTAGTTGCATGATCGCGTCATTGTGCAAAGTTTCAGACCCTTACTTAATGTGGGTACTACTGAGGTTTGATCGACTGAGTGATAGATTTTGGATGAGAAAATCAGTTTCCATATTGAATAAGATTTTAAAATGCTGCCCTTAATTTGATATTTTTTCTGTAATGTTTACCCGAACAATTGAGACAAAAGAAAAGTGTTCTTTATCCCGTGTAAAACCCAAGTGTTTAAGCCAAATAAGTAAACTTATTTGGTACCCTGAAAAGGATATTGTACATTTTCTTACGTGTAAGGAGTAATATAAAAAATTATATATATTTACATTTAAAAGTAAATCATTTTCAAAAAATAAACAATCTTTAAAAAAAAAAATTTCAGCTAAATTAAATTTAGCCATCGATATTGATTTTGAAAAGTGTATTTAAAAGGGAAAAGGGAGTGGGGGATTTTAAGAATTGTTTCACCTTATTTTTTAGATTTTAGAATATTAATAACACAAAAAACATTTAGATTCAGTTATGAAGAATTTAGTAATGTAATAAATATTTCAACAAATTTTTCAAAATTTCTAACGTTAAAAAATGTTACATTAAAATTTTGGGAATTTCGAAAGTTAGTGTTATATAAAATAATTTTAATTGTATCTATTTTGAATTTTATACTAGTTTCACTCATTTTGATTAAGATAAAAATATTTGTATTACTAAATATTTTTGATTCTAAAGTGTGTTATACCATCTCCACCACACTCGGCCCCATGTAAACTATTATTTTATCTATATCGGCAAATAAAGGGAAAATTTAGAGTAGATTTTATTTTATGCGTAACATGTTTTTCCGCATTTTTTGACTTTAAAGTAATGTAGTTTTACCCCATATTGATTGTATTCTCGAGATAAAACCTTACTAAGGTTCTGTCTCAAGTTACTAAGAGTTAAAGATAGTTACAGTTAAAGAAAACTAATCAAAACTCTAAGGTACTTAGAGTTTTGACTAGTTTCTTTTAACTGTGAACATATTCTCCAAGCTAATCTAAGTCAATCCTTAATGAGTTCAAGTTATGCAAAGTTCTCGTTATAACAATAAGCAGCATACACTAAATTAAATCAATTAAATAAATGATAAACTAAATTTTTAATACTATATCAATGGCATTATGCACAGAATTGTTAAGTGCCACAGATTTAATTTTACAGGGGAGCATTTTGAAACTGGTGGACTAGTTACAATTTAGTAGACTTGTAACATTTTAAGCGATTAGTAGACTTGTAACAGTTTATCGTACACTTATCATACTCGGGCACAATAATGTTTGAAAAAATACGACAATTTTTGTGTACTTAGGTCAATTTGACCAAATGTTGTACTTAACACTTCAGTGCATAATGCCATCGATACACATTTTTATCTTTAGAACTTGTTAATGGTGATAAATACAAATTTTTAGAAGACAAAAAAACAGTAGTTCTTTCGTCTTCTAAAATTTGTTGTATTCATTAATAAAACTTGTAGAACTTGAGTAACAGAAAGTAGATATTTGACTAACAAACGAAAAATCTGGTCAACACAATATTTCCTGATAGACACAATCTTTCCTGGTAAACTTTGCTGGAATACGAGCAAATAAGCAAGAAGGTTTTCAATGATACCGTCAATTAGATAATTTGAAATCAGTCTTGTTTCTTTTTCCTAGATCTTTTTTTTTTGCAAAAAGATATTTTTGCTATACAGATGTATTCAATGGAATATTTCCCCCTTTTTTAATAGAATATTTCCCCCCTTTTTTAAAAACCGACAATTTAATGATTTAAACGAGAAAAACGCCTGCTTCTTTTAGCTGCAATATTCTTGTTTATACCAATAATAATTGTAATAATAATTGGGACTTTAAATTAAAAAAATTAATTTTTACTCACAATCTTCCAGCGGAATAAATTTAAAAGATAAAATAAGACAAAGTGTGATAATTGTGAAAGTTGTCAATCCCAAAAAATTGCGTTTCTTTAAAAATTATGCAATATAGATTAGAATTAGGGCTGATTAATAAATATCGACAATAATTGGGACATGTATTAAATCTAATAAAAGCTTTTTTCAAGGTCTAGTTGCCTCTGCCATCTTATAATACAAGACGGAAGTATTTAATGTATACATTGTTACTAACATTTGTATATAAACTTTGTAACACTCAAACTATAAAGATTTGTATTAAAACATTTAAAACTAGGTATATCAATCTGTAGCAGCTTATACTAATTAACATTACGGTACATAATTAAAAATGATTATTGCCTGAATAGATTTATAAGAAAAGCTTATAACTTGTTTATACGCAATTTCACAACATCAAATGCTTTTGATTGAAAATTTTAATTTAGAATGTTTGAAAAGTATCGGAATGCGAGAAACTAAACTGATTTATGTTATTATCTATAGTGTTTTCATTTAATTTCGTCAATATGCACGCATTTTACAATGTAACCTTAAAATCTAAAAAATATATAACAAAATTTCTTATTATCCCTTCGTGAAATAAAGAAAAGTATAATTTTAATTATACTTTTATTTTAATATAATAAAGTTCTAATATTATACAAAAGAGTGAAACTAAAAAAATTTGAAAGTTTGAAAAAAAACTATAAAGTTTGCAAAATAGAAAAAAGTCTTTTCAAAAAAAACAACTACAATATATATATATATATATATATATATATATATATATATATATATATATATATATATATATATATATATATATATATATATATATATATATACATATATTTTTTACACATTAGTGGAATTCTGATTATAAAAAGAATTCTTTAGAAATGATTACTTATGCTTTTTTTTTATAAAAATATTTTTAAAAAGGGGGAATTTAATGTAACTATTATTTGAGCTCACTTATTTTTATAGTTTTTTAGGAGAAACTTATTTTCGTGTCTGCATTTAGAAATCAATTCCGATTTTTTATTTGTTTTATCAGCAAAAATCAAAACATTTGGGTTTGATTTAATTTTTTTAACATTTAACTTTAAGTTTTTGCTGATAAAACAAATAACATTTACCAACTCACAACAGAAAACTATGAAAAAGTTTTACGCGACAATATTAGTAGTTCTTATGGGAAAGCCCCTAAAAATTTGGATAACGCAATTAATTTAGAAGCCCAAAGTATTGCTAAAAACAATAAACCTTGATAACAGAATCGAATATACTGCCCCTGCCCAAGCATTTGTAACACTAAAAGACCATAAACTAAACTTTCAAAACAAACTTCCTTGTAGTTTACTGGTTCCCTCAAAAAGTGAGATTGGACATGTAAGCAAAATTAAATTGAACAAAATTAATAATATTCTTAGAAATAAGTTAAATTTGCAACAGTGAAAAAATACTATTGATGTTATAAATTTGTTCTCCATAATCGAAAATAAAGATGACTGTACATTTATTCAATTTAATAATAATGATTTTTACCCTTCAATAACTGCAGATATTTTAAATAAAACAATCGAATTGCAAAAATCGAAATGCAAAAAGCCACACAGTTATTTCTGAAGAAACAATCCGTATAATAAAACATTGTAGAAAAACCTTACTTTACTTTAATAAGGAAACTTGGAAAAAGAAAAACATACACGACTGCTTTGATGTGACAATGGGCAGTTATGACGGAGCAGAAATTTGTGAGTTTGTTGGACTATACATTTTAGATTTACTAATTAAAATAATCAATATAAATGATTTAGGCCTTTATCGCGACGATGGTTTAATAGTAATGCATAAAAAATCTGGTCCACAGCTTGATAAGATTCAAAAAGATATTATAAAAATTTTTTAAAATATTGGCTTTCAAATCAAAATAAACATAAATTTAAAAATTGTGAACTTTCTTGATGTCACATTTAACCTCTCTGAAAATTCATATAAGCTTTTCAAAAAACCAAACGATGAATTATTGTATATTAACATTAACTCAAATCATCTACCACAAATTCTAAAACAAATCCTAATTTCAATTAATAACAGGTTAAAGCAAAACTCCTCTAATGAAAATGTATTTAATTCCTCCAAATGAATATTTGAAGATGCCCTTAAATAAAGTGGTTTTGAAATTTTTGACCTAAAATTTGACCCTGAAAAAAAGAATACAAAAAAAACGGAATAGAACTAGAAATGTAATTTGGTTCAACCCCCCATATAGCAAAAATGTTTCCACTAACATAGGAAAAGTATTTTTAAAATTGGTCGATAAGCATTTCCCTCCTTCTAATAAATTACATAAAATTTTTATTCGAAATACAATTAAATTTAGCTACAGTTGCACAAAAAATATGAAAAGAATTATAAAAAGTCACAATAATGCTTTGTTAAACAAAAAAGAAATCCTAAATGAAAAAACTACAGAAAATTGTAATTTTAAACAAAAAAACACATGTCCAATAAGTGGAAGTTGTTTATCAAAAAATAAGGTATATAAATGTGTTGTTTCCTCTAAGAATGTACCCGATAAACAACATA